GAAAACTTAAAAAAAAATATAAATCATTAAAAATTTTATATAAACTATTTTTAGACTGGATTTTTTTTATTATACTCACTCTCATTGTCAATTTTTTAATTTTTAAATTTAATAACTAATAAAATCTAAATCATTTGCTATTGGTTTTTATTGATTTTTAATTAAAAAAGACTTAAAACCCAATCTAACCCAACTCATCAATTATAATTTCAGTCAATTTCATTTTTTTTTTAAATTGCAGATTTTTTCCTCACGCTCACCCCTACAAGGACTCGTGCTTTCATATTCTCTGCACATCTGTGGTATTCACATTAACATTATAGCATTTGCAATATTAACATTCAATTTAGTTTAGTTATTAGTGTACTTGATAAAATAAAAAGTTAAAAATAAATTTTTACTTAATAAAAGCGGTTTGGTGGAGTTCTACTTCTATTCTGTTGCTTCTGTTGGGAAGAATGGATGTCACTTTAGTAAATAATAATAATAAAATATTTCTCATTGTTAGGAGCATGTTAAATCAAACTCAAATAAAAATATGACAATAAATAAAATATGTAAAATAATAAAGATAGTTAAGGCAAAAACAATTATTATATGAGATATAAAATTTTTACGTAAAAATTATAAGACATTCAGTTTACAAAATATAGTTTTACTATAATTAAAGAAAATATGCAATCCTCAAAAAAAATTAAAGAAAATATGCAATATTCTTTTCTACAAAAGCACAAAAATCACATTAAATAAAAAGAATAATAAATCATAAAGCAACAAAAAGAAAAGAAGAGACCACAAGAGATATAATAATAATAAAAGAAAGAACCATTGTTTTGGGTATGAAGTCAAAAGTTACAACTTCAAATGAAAGATGGACAGTTAAAATGTAGATGCTGTCTCACAAATGTGGAGACAAAATTTTAGTTTAATTATGATGGACTTTTGCAAAGTGGATAAAATGATAAAGCTATGCAAAATACCACTTTCTATCGGCTCCACCTCATGTGCCCTACACAGTCTTTGCGCAAACCAGATCTCTTTCTTTGTCTTTTATAAAAATCTAATTTAAGTAGATTTTGTGTGTGTCTAGTTTAATAAATATTATATCATTTCTTTATGTAAAAAAGATAAGCCTAATCCAACAGCTTGTAAAACAATTTTACTAAGCGAGCTCTTAAGTATAATATGTAAGATCAATAAATAAAAACTTCAACCAAATGGTTATATAGTATGTATTCAAGTGTCTTTAATTATTTTTAATTTAGTTATATTAAAATTTTCATAAAATTTCTAATATTTTAATTCCAATTTGAATCTTAAAACTTTAATGCCTTCTTGAGAAATTAATTTGCATAGATCAGAAAAAGAATTTGCAAATTTGGGACCCTTACTTGAATATTTTTAAATCTTAAATTCACTGAGACCTTATTGGACATAAATAAATTTTAGAGATTAATTTGTTAAGAGAACGAAAGCCATGGACTAATATTAAGTGGAATAGACACTTCACACGTGGCATATTTATCTTCTTCGTTTTAAAACTTCTGCTTTCCTAATCTCCCTCAAATTAACATCCTCCCAAACCAGAACAGAAAAATGAGGTTTTAACATGATTAATAATAAACAAAATTAAAATTTGAAATTAAAATTTGAGATCAATCAATCAACCAAACATAGATCATTCATTTTTTATAGTCCTCCTTTTCGTGCTTTGGAAAAATCAAACCAGCAATTATTACTTGCCCCCTTTTTTTTTGAACATGCATTACTTGCCCCCTTTGTTTTTTTACTTTTTAAAATTTATAATAATATATATTAATTAATTTAATTACAAGACATAATTTTTATCATTAAATTAAAATCTTAATTTTGAATTTTCATTCTTTCTATCCTTACTTTTTGACTTTGGTTAAAGGGCAGGTACAACAATTGGAGAGGAAAGCCTAAGTGGAGTTCGTCCATTGTTGCCGAGACTTGCCGCAATATTTGATTTTCTCGTTATGTAATTAATACTACCACGTAAATGCGTATCTTCCATTTGTTTCTTTGCTTCATCTTTAAGCCCTTATAGCCTAGTGGTGATGGGATTATTCGATGTAGCGGACCTAATTCGAGTAATGGCTGCATTGAAGCGGGTGGAAAAAATGCAAAATGGGAAAGGTTAAACTTATATAAAACATGCATGCGTATTATGAATTATAAACCTCAAGGCAGCATATCACAGTGCTACAGTAATTCTCTCCATCTTCATTTTCCTCCATTCTGTTTTACCTTTGTAGTATCTTAAAACAGAAAGAAGGAACCAAAAAATATACTTGAATTAATGGTAAAAGATTGGGAGCTGGTTACACAATTGTAGCAGCATGACAACAAAAATGCCATCAATCACAAAATTTTTGGATGGTTCTCTAATTTCCCTCAAGGAAGCAGAAACCAAAATGAAAAAACGGATCAATGTGTTGTGACTGCAATAGGGGATGAATTCAGATTGCAGCTAGGCTGCAAACCTGATGTATGAAACAAGTTCATGAGCTCCATTTAACACTTT